TTATCCTCCCCATTGATCAAAAGGAATGACTGCTGCAGCAATGTCTTTCAGTGTTAAGTCAAGCTGACCTTTTACTCTGTCCTGTCAAAATCTTTATGGAGAGTGTTATAAAAGGGATATGGTATATACAGACTGCTACAGAGTCTGCACTTCCCATTACTTGTATTCCCCACCTCGATGCATTTCTGCCACCTGATTTCATTACACTTTCCTTTCCTTGGGTGATGTCCAGTCCTGTCTTTCACATGAAGTGGCTGAATAGCAGCCCTTTGTAGAGAGCATGTGTGCATAGCAGAGCTCAGAGGTGAGGTGCTTCTGGGAGTCCTTTAGCATTCCCTAGCTCAGTTGTGGCACTGCAGAATTGTTAAGAGAAGAGACAGTTAGAAGTGTTTTTCAAAGGAAACTAGGTTATGCCAAAATGTACTCAGACCTTGCATCAGAAGCATTTAATTCAAGCAATACTAAGAGCCATCCCTGGGGTGCCTGCCTACCCTGTCTTAGGACTGAGTAAACCTGTAGTCAGGAAGCAGCCTGGTTTCAGCAGCCAATATTTTCCAGAACTGTTTCCATAAAGAGGTATAATGACTCAGAGCAAGTACAGGATGTGCAGGTGGGATCAGGGTGCAATGACATCCTGAGGAATTGCTGCTACCTCTACTTGTAATCTGCAGTAATACAGTAAAAGGCTTCCTGTCCTACTGATCTTCTCTGATGTTTAGGGAGATGTAGAAACTCTGTGTCCCAGAGAAACTGGTGCCTTGGTATTTGACACTTCTCCCTCTGTTAGGGATTCTTTTCTATCTGAAATTGATTTTTTCTTGGCTTGACCAGACTTCTTAGTTCTGGCTACAACATCTTTGTGCATCATTTTTTCAGGCTTGTTCTTTTGTTATCTCAGAGGAACTAAAACAAATCTCACTTACTGTGTAAGGTCACAAAGGATTTGGGTCTGGCATACAGACAGATTCAAAACCTATTTGCATTTCAGATATGGCCCTTAGAAAACACCCAGTGGCCCCAAGACCACCCAGCCCATGAAGACACTCTCTTGTTTTTCCCAATAAATAACCTCAGGGAAAGAAGAAACTGAAGTGGGGAGAAAGCCAGAAATACAAAGAGTGAAATAAAGTGTATTGTTCATGTACCAAGGTGCTCTGCAGGGCAGTCAGGGCTTGTGCTTCACTACAGGTGGCATTCATATCAGAAGAATGATCTAAAAAAATCCTGCTGCAGGTTCAATATATTTTTGCTACCTGTGTAAAACCTTTTAGACTCACAGCAGAGTATCGGGCTCACACACCTCATTTTTCTGTGTGTATTCTGTAATAAGCACTACTTGACAGAATGTAGACACAGCTTGGTGCTCAAAGTCATTTCAAGAAATGACAGAGGAATGTCAAGGAACTCAGCTCCTTCTGAAGTTTTTTTTTTTTTTTTTTTAATAATAGCAGGGCTTATTTGAGGACAAATTAAAAATAGCCCTGAAAGTTACTCCAGGCTTTATCTCTTCTGTGCGGTTGAATCACACATGACAAGAAGGAAATTCCTTCAGGCTTTAAATAAACCTATAATCATTTAATCTCTAATGGGTTATTTTGAAATTCAAGCAGAATACATCTTCTGTGCACTTGCACACCACTGAAGATCACTTCAAATTTCAAAGCCCTAATGGAGGCTTAGAAAAACATAGATAGAAACAAGCAGTCAGGAGCAAGCTGGCAAAAAGGAGCAGGCTGAGCTGCCATGACAGAACTGCAATACCCTGGCATTGGGGTGGGATCTGCTGGTTCAGTGAGGGCGGCACCATGTAAGGCAACAGCTTAGGCTTCTGCCAGCTTTTTTTTTTTTTCCATAGAAATACATCTGCAGCAGGATGGTGGCTTTTAAAAAAATGGTTAGAAAAAAGTTTTTTTTTCTTTCTCGTGTAGTGGGAAAAAAAGTCACTGTGTCAAAATCCATCAGACCAGGACAGTCTCTGAGGAGATGGTTTCAAAACCTCCCTTGTTGCTGTGACCCCTGTGGGTTAGTCAGTCCATATGCAGGAGTCATGCCCTTGCTTTGTCAAGGCACATTGCTGCCCTTTCCAGGAGAAAAGAAGGATAATTCCATGGTACAAATAGCATGATTTGATAAAAAGAAGTGGTTTTTTTTTGGATGTCTGTCATTTTTTAACCTACTGGAGGTAATATCTGTGTATGTTTGCTCCTGTAGATATCTATCATGAGTAATTTGCAGAAAAGATTTTGGACACCAAAGAAAGTCTCAGAAAATGATTGTCCCAAGTTAGTCATTTTTGGCTTCCTTGGCTTCAGGTCTTCCAGGAGGGACAAGTGAGCCAGAGTGAGACACCACTGCCACAGGCCCTCTAGCTTCCCTTAGCTGAAAAGCAGCGTTAGTCCCCTCTTCCTGTCATAGGGCTGTGCTACCACTTTTCCGACAAAACCAAGTGTCCCTGTGCTTGAGGTGAGCCCTTGCAATTGCCTTCTTTTTGTAGCTTCACTTCTTTTCTCCTGTCCTTCCCTTATCTGCTTGACAGCTTCTACCTTTTTCTGCCCTCCACTGCTATTTTTAGGCAGTTAGACCAGGTAATCAGAGAATTTGCTGGGATTTTTTTTCCCCTAATGACTAAGGCTCTCTAAGGCATCTGACATGTCCACAATGACCACCACCATCTGCTTGCCAATACAAGTACTTTGATTGGTGGCTTTTGTAACAATCTGCCAACAACTGGAAGATAATGATTACTGTATTGTAACTTAAAAAGGAGAATTCTTTTTCTTAATATGCAACACAGTTACTTTTTACTGAGCTGAAAATTCGCAGAGGGCCTAGGTCCTTGCAGGGCACCATTTCCTTACCTAAAGAAAAAAAGCAATAGCCTTAAGCACTTCAAAAACAGGTTCATGTAATGCATTAGCATTTCAAAGTGGCCTGCAAGGCCTGACAGGCTCAGACTTCAATAATTTTCTGTTCTCATTAAAAGATACTGTATCATATTAATATTCTTTGACAACAGAGATACAGAATATTCCACCCTTACTTACGCTTTAATGTACATCTGACAAAATTGTGGACTCCTGGAGCAACCCCTACAATTTGAGCATCCTTGCATAAAACACAACACAAATAGCATCATCTCCATAGCATTTAGTCAGCTTTCATTTGCCCAGCATTCGTATTTTATTTATTAGAGCAAAGATCTTGGTTTTCTTGAGCATGCCATGCGGGCCTGAACTTGGAGGATATCATCCACACCACAGGATTTTTTATGAAATGCTGTGTTGTGTCCTTGAGACATCTAAGAGGCCATGGCTGCTAAGCCTTTCCACAGCCTGGCTGCTGGTTTCTCTTACCAAGCCTGGCCTCAGCCACCAGCCCTTTCCTTGAGGGAAGCAGAGGCAGGTTAGGAGGCACTCGTCCATACTCTGAAGCGAGACAAGCCATGACAATGGAAATGGGAAATGGGGAGAGGCTGCTGGTGCTGTTACAGGCATGTTCTGTGTGATACCCTTGGCACTCTTCCCTAAAAAGTGACATTTAAAAGAAGAAACAAACACATATTTTTTTCTACAGGCCACATACATTTCTTGCACCTTCTTTGAATGATGCTCTTCCAGCCTACAACTTTTTCTTACACCGTCACAACAAATGCTTTAAAATAATGACAGTGCTGTGGTACCTCCTGCACCAGTAAACCAGTGACCAAAGCAAAAGACTACAGCGTAATTTCCCAGGTGATAACAGGCAGGGTTGTAGTGAGGGTATCTGTCTTCCATGGCTTAGCTGTAAGATTTAATTTACCATTAAAATGCAGCCATCCTGGGAAGGATGATGCATAAGATTCAGAGCACACAACGTAAAGACAGAACAGGAGCTGTAAAATGCTGTCTTCTTATGCTACATTTTTACACTAAGGTAAAGCATATTTTGCACTAAACCCCACAGACATTGTTTGACTTAGGCAATGCATCTCTGAAATACACTTGACTCCTCTGTGAATGTCTTCCCTGTATCAACTCTATGAGAACAGAAAACAGACAGTACATACATAGGCAGTTGCTTAACAAAGGAAGAAGATAATCACGGATCTAGAAATGTAATCCATCATCATTTAATTCAACATAGCATTTGGTAACATGCTTAGTAAATTCATTCTTTAAATATGTGTGTCCACTGACACATTTAACATAGTGAAGAAATGAAAAGATTGCTAGAATATCATTATTGTTGTTTCTCATTTAAGTTACTTTTAAAACATAAAATATGCAGGAAAAAATATACATCTGTAGTGTTTAGACTATTGTACATTATAAATATGCTGGAAGGATGGGCACTGTTCCGGTCATGTTCACGAGGCTGCGTGTAGGCGCTACCTGGTTTTGCAGGCATAATATTTTATTTTATTGCAAACCATCTACATAGAGAGTAGAAAGCAAACATGACAAATTCCACAGCACTATCAGCTTAAATAATTTGAGGTCTATTAATACTTTAAAAATAAGGCATTTCACCAAGTCAAGGAACACTCAAATCTTCATCATGAGAACTTCTCTCAGGTAAATCAAAGGCAATATACAGATGAGTGATGATAGTTCAGTCAATTCACAGTTTTCAAAAACAGGTCTCCTTAGAAGTAAGTGCTCCCTAAGAAAATCCATCATTAATATGGATGAAAACTTTGCCTTCCTCTTGCTATATCATATAGTACAGAGAGGATGGACATATGTGTAAACATATCTGTTTACTAAGTTGCTTCTTGCCTAACTTGAATCATCTAAAAATCAGAAATCTGATGTACGCTCATTTCTATAGTAAATATATATCCTCAGGAATGCACGCAAATGTCTAAAAAGTTTAGTAAAAATAAAGGAGGGTATGAGGAGAAACCACAACATTAGAAGTACTAAAAAAACTATTAAAGGTGAGACAAAGACTGAATTTTCTGAAATTTCATTTTCTATTTGCTTGTTTTGAAAGTTTTAAAGCACTCCCCACCAAAAGTTATTGTAAGCCAAATTTCTCACAATGCAATATGGCAGAGAGGAGCCTTTCCTGGAGTATTGCTCTAGAGCTGTATCTGGGGAGTGACAAAATGAGACTGCAAGTATTGGTAAAAGGATAGCATATATCTGGATCTTTAATTTTAGGATCTTCAATATAAAATTCAAAATATTCCAGGCCAGTTGCAGGGATTCGATCAGATCCTGACAAAAAGGCTGAGGGAGGAAAAAAAGGTAATTAATAGATTTAAAAAAACATAAAAACAGAAAAAGAAAGCAATAACCGAAGAAAAACAAGATAACAATATTAAAGAATGAAAATCTGGAAAGAAAATTGCTGTAGAAGTATAGTTATTTCCATAAACTAATTATTTATATTTTTTGAATTTATATTTGAATATAATAGAGTGTTGTGTGATTCATAAAGCTGTTTTACTTGTAGAGACATCGAGGATAAGAAAAGCTAGGCTACGTTTGACCTTCTGCATTTAAAAAACGATTTGCTGAATTCTGCAGTCCTTTGAAAAGGCTAAACTGCTTGTGTTCATATGCATCAGGTAGGTCTCAGGCCTCTGACCTACAACTGATATCCAGACAAGTAAGTGATAAAATAATCACAAAGTTCATGGGTGTGTCAGGTGCTTTGACAGAAGTCTCAAGAGAGGTCAGAACTGAGTCTCTGCATATGCCCTGGGTCAGTTCTCCCTGGCTTTCACTAGAAAATTTTAATATGGCTAAGAGCTACTTGGAACAACAGTATTTTTCACATGTAAGCATCTATAATGTGTGTTTTGGGGGAGAGAAAGGACTAGTTTAGAGTGTCTGATACATTACCAAGAAACATTTTCTTTTTTTCTTCTGAGAGTCTGTGAAACACATTCCAAAAATTCTTGATGGCTTGATCTGACTTCTGGTAATTTATGTACTTTACATTCTGTTGAAGGGAATAGAAATAAAACTCACCAGGTAATCCTTTTTCATTTAGAGCAACAACAATTTACCCAATATATTTTATAATCCTTTTCATAGATATTCAAATCCCCTTAACCTTTGGAATCTGCTCATTTGATTGGTTGTTCCCCTCTCTCCTCACCCCCCCACAAAGATTTGTATGACAATCTTTGAACTATTATTTGATTTGTATTCCCTTTTTTTCTCATGTAGCTGGTATAGATAAGAAATAGATTCAAAACAATGACAAGTGGAGTAAAGAAAAAAAAAAAGTCCCTCAAGCTCCTGTTTTGGTGTTTATAACATATGCAATCCACAAAAGAACAGGACAGAAGGAGTTTACGCTCAGCAGAGCGAGCAGAGATGCACTCTGCTTGTATCTAATACCTTTTCCAGCCTATGCCAGTCACAGTTCACGTGTCCCTCGAGAACAGTCTGGAGCTCCCCAGGCAGAAACATCCTCCACTTTTTAGTTGGGCAGCCTCTTGAAAACCCTCTCTTGAAGTCCTCAAAGGGCTTCTGAACTGATTCATTGAACACGTAATTCACATACAGGTCAACAAATTCCTTCCTGCAAAGATATTTTGATTCAAACAAGCAGTGTAAGACTGATGCTTTTAAAAGAAAAAAATATACAGAACTTTTATTCCTTGGGTATCACCAAGGCCATATGTTCCACATAGGACCTGCTTACATTGCCTACAGCAGTCATCACGTGCAATTATTCATTCACTGAATTAAGCTGTTAGGACCACTGCAAATAAAAGACAAGGCTGGCCAGGTTGATTCATTTTGGCAATACTCCTCATACTTCATATGAGCTCTGCTATATATTTTTATTCATCATTTCACTACTATGACAAAACCCAGCAGACAAACCAAAGGTGTAAATTCGGAGAAACTCATTTTTAAAGCCAAAGAATTGTCCTGCAATCAAAACAATTCTTCACGCAGCTGCTCACTGGCGGAATTTCACTCTTCTCTGTTCATGATGGGGAGTCATTTGCTGACAGTGTAACTCTATAGAAGCAGCGCAGTGTAACCGGTGTGCTTTGAGCTCCCTCAACAGTCCCTTCGTGGGTCCGTATGGGTCATCAGATCACGTGCCTAACTCTAGGCACAGAATTTTCCTCTGTGCTCCTGTGCTGAGGTAAACGCTGACACAATGTCTTACCAATAGATTCTGCTGTTATATGCAAGATAGAGCCCATGCAGGCAGCACAGTCCTGATGCTCAGCACTTGCTACGAGTATCACTCACCATGCAAATGCTCTGCAGGTGCACAACTTGCCAACATGTGAGACAAGTAAGAAAACCTCGGGAATCCTAAATTCTTGCAGCTCAAAGCTAACAGACAGAAACATACCCCTCCCCGGTAATAGAATGCCAAACACTTCCAAAAAGCTTTGAGGAGAGATTAAGGGATGATGTTTGGATATGTTTGTGGCAGGGTAAGAGAAACAAAACCTACCGGTTATGCTTTGTGACAGCAATGTTGGCACCATTTTCTTTAAGTTGAACATCAACTGTGGAATCTCCTTCTTCTTCCGTTGTCTACACAAGTAAATCAAAACATTGCAAGCTGAGCTGTATCCGTCAGGGGCAGACACAGCCCTCTCACCGCACGAGCTGAGAGCAGCGGTGTGGTTTCCGTGCAGATCCTGACTTGCCTACGCAAACACACAGCACGTCTGCACGGCTTGCTGATGGCTCACCATGAAGTACATGTTGAGGCCCTTGATGGCATCATCGTGTTCCTCATCTAAAATCTTCTGAAGATTCCTTTCAAAATAAGAAGGAAGGAAAAAAAAGCAGAGAAGAAACAGACTTCAAACACCACTCAATGCGTACTCAAATCCCCCTGCGAAAGGAACGTTTAAATGCGTACGTATATGGGCTGCTCGCAGTCACACAGCGCCTTCACCTCTGGCTCTGCATTGACTGACCTTACATCTCACCGCTGCCATGATGCCCTCCCTGCCCACCGGGATAACCGTGCCCAGTGGCGGTGAGGATGATGACAGTGACGGCCGTACCTGCCCTCTGTGGGCAGCAGCTCCTTCAGGTCATCCAGCGTGGGCGGCTGGCGCAGCAGCTTCTTGTAGAGTGCTCTGGGGAAGGGCAAGGGCACTGTGCATGCATTGCACAGCGCCATGCCCAGCAGCGTCCCCACCAGGAAGAAGGTATCGCTGGGAGACTGGTTAAAGAAAAAAAAAATCATCAACGAGAACAAGAAGAAGGCTAAAAGCAAGTCAAGGGAGGAGGTGAAGGGGCAGGGACCGCCCTTACCTGCCGGGGGAACCAGATGAGCTGGGAGTCCAAGTGGACGAAGGGTCCATCGTGGGGCTGGCAGAGGGCTCTGGCGGCGGCGCTGAAGAGCTCCTTGGAGAGGCCCCCCTGGTCAATGCCGGGCTCCCCGGCGAACGTCACCCGCGGG